AAAGAACAATGAAGCATGAAGTCCATGCCTAAACTTACTTTCCTTTCCACTGAAAGCTATAACCAGCAATTCCCAGCAAATGAAATGAGTGGCTAAAACTGGCCTAATTCTGTTTGAATAGCTATTTCTGTGTCTTGCCGTGCATGAAGGACACAGAAGCACTGCTCTACCCATCATTCACCTCATCACAACCTCTTTTGGTCTTAAAGCCTTGAGTTTTATAACCTCAAGGTTTCTTTACCCCAAATGCAAAGCCCCGTATAAAGCATGTAAGTAATATGTGTATAAAACATAGAAAAATAGTCCCTTACCTAATGAAATACACTGTAACACAGGAAAGGGGCATATAGATATAATATGAACTTAAGATCTATCCTCAGTTTTTTCACTTACAAGATTAGAATGATAATTATTGGTGTTAGACCTGTTTACATGACAATTGGTAACTGGAGAGTACACATGAAATAATACATGGGAAATCATGAAAGTTACTTTTATAAAGGCAGTAAAGCCATGAATTCCTAGGAAACAAGTTTTCTTTTTTTTTTTCTTTTTTTTTATAAATTTTTTTTTAACATTTATTTATTTTTGAGACAGAGAGAGACAGAGCATGAACGGGGGAGGGTCAGAGAGAGAGAGGGAGACACAGAATCTGAAACAGGCTCCAGGCTCTGAGCTGTCAGCACAGAGCCCGACGCGGGGCTCGAACTCACGGACCGTGAGATCATGACCTGAGCTGAAGTCGGCCGCTTAACCGACTGAGCCACCCAGGTGCCCCGTAAACAACAAGTTTTCATCTAAGTTATAGTTACCTGAGAGACAGTTCTGCCAGCAGGTCCAGCCCTAGGGTTTTTGATTATGATGAGCTAAAGGCAGACATTTTTGTTATGTTTTCATTGTTTTAATCACACACACACACACACACACACACACACACACCACAAGTGCCATTATTACCTTACATTGGACAAAGGTCTTCTTGACTCCAGAAAATAAAAGCAATTAGCTAATTTATAGTAATTCTATATTCTTTTAGTATTACATGTTAAGTTAGATTTCCATCCATCATAGCCCCAGAGGAATTCAATTAATTCTCACACACTTCTTTTGGATTAGTAGTGCACTCTGATTAGTGTTGTATTAGCAGATGCAAAATCATTTTCTGGATAAAGCAGGGAATTGAAAATTAAATAAACAAATATGCAATACTTGGAGAAGGTCACCCCAATAAAGGGAAGGGATTTTGTAGATCCAGCCTTCCAGCAGAAACATCAAAATCAAGAGCTACTGAAGAAGCATTTCATGGTACCAAAACACTTGGAAAGGCTGCGTGATGCTGTTTTTCAAAAAGTCTGTTGAAAAATCTTTATGTCACACTGAAAACAGAGATCTCATCTACTTGAAACACACTTCTGTTCAACTTTAGTTTCCAATCTGAGGTTAATATTTGTAAAAGGGCACGCCACCACCCTTTCTAAAATCTTTTCCCATTCATCTTTCTACATAGTGTGTTATTTGGATTATATGAAATACTGATACATTAGATCTTAGACTTCTGTAGAATAGTCTTCTCTCACATCCCCATCTTGTGAAGGATGTGTATAAGAAGACTTACCTGAAATGTCTTTTTGCCAGAGTATGTAAAGAGATTTGCTGGGAGGAAGAGGCATTTATTCCAGATACTACCTCAAGTTTCAAAATAGAAGAGGAGCCCCAGCATTATTTTCAAGATGTAAACTTTAGGCTAATAATTAGCTCTACTAGGTATTGAATTTTTCCTTTTAATTTTCTTTTCAAAATATCAAGTTCCCAATTCTGAAAGCGCTTGGTGATAAGTACAGATACCAGGTGCCTAGTATTTTTCAAGCAGATTTTGTTTGTGTTTTTGTCCCCAAGAAATACAAGCATTATTAAGTAGCAACCCACTCCTCCCTAAAAATAATAATCATAATTTATTACTCAAACTTAAGCAATATGTCAAAAAACAATTCATTACATAGTAAATGATTAAAATTTATATAAAAATATTGGGTGGGTCTGATTCTCTTCCTTTAGATGTGAGCCTCATATCCATCTCCTCTCTCCTCTGACACACTGTTTGGATACAGTTGTTATCCTTGATACGGGGGAAATGGCACAGTGCCCAGCTGATGCGTTTTCAGAGTCATTAACCCAGGTTTCTTCTCTATTTTGAATATTCTTGGAAAAAACTTTTCTGTATATTGGAGACCTTTAGCCATAATCCTTTTTTATCAATTCTTTAATGTTGTCAACTGCTAAATTAAAATTTTGAAGGTGGGCTTTCCCTGTATTATAAAATAGATTCGTTGTTGGCTCAGAACCAAATTCTGTGGACATGAGGTTGTGCATGCTTCCCATTGGCAGTAACCTGAGGACTTTATTTAAACTGTCTTTTGAATCTTGGTGTCTGGAATAGGATCTTTATCAACAAAGGACTGCCAGAACCCCAACTGCTTCTTGAGTAGCTGTAATAGATGAATAATGTTACAACCAGCCGTGCATTTCAGTTTTTACTCAAAAGGCTTTTCACTAATGCTGGTGGTATTCCATATCCATGTGTTCATCTCGGAGCCCAGTAGTTCCCATCTGACTTTCATTACTTTTTTGAGAGGATCAGTTTTACAACTGGAATCAGAAAAGCAGTCAAAGTAATTGCAAGTGGCAATCAGTGAAACATAACAATTTTAGCTTGGGAACATACGTTCCATTATAAAGAAAATTTTCTTTTTTCTTTTTTCTCATAGTTCCAGGACTCATATTTTTCCATGGCAAGAAGGGGCCATATATAGGTTCTGGTGCTACCTCTCATATCAGGCCTGTATGATATGCCAGTACCCCTGTAAAGTGCTTGGTCTGCTCCAGGGATAGGCAATTGTTACCTCTCAAGGAAATCTATTCGCTTTTTGATTCTGAAAATTTGAAAATGCTTTACGATATTGGAGATGAAATTCATCTCTCTGTGGTTACATCCTTCAGAATTGAAAAACTTGGGTCTCAACAGAGTAAATCTACCCCTCTCTTCAGGTACTCACAGGCAGAGTCCTCATCCCCTACATTTTCCTCTGCCAAGTATAATATGCATGCCTTTCTCATATGGAACAGCTTTGATTTCCTTAATCGCTCTGTTCACTCTCATTGAAAGAAGCTCAGATTTGCCTGTATCCCTCTTAAAGGTGTGCTGAAGGAAAATTAGACTTCCAATCAGAATATCTGCATTAAATTCAAGCTCTGCTACTTATTAATGTCAGAACTTGGGCAAATTTCTTTTTGGCCCTTTGAGATAGCAAGGGATTAATAAAAGAGACATGGTCTAGAGGTCAAAACAAACAATAAGCATGTCAACAAACAAGTATATAATTACAATGTGTAATAAGTAGTGTAAAGAGTTGTCAAGTGAGGGGTACCTTTGTGGCTCTGTTGGTTAAGTGTCCAACTTTGATATCAGCTCAGCTCAGGTCTCGATGTCATGGGTCCATGACATCAAGCCCCGAGTGGGCTCTACGCTGACAGGGCAGAGCCTGCTTGGGATTCACTCCATCTCTCTCTGCCCCTTCCTGTTCATGCGTGCTCTCTCTATCCCTCTTTCTTTCTCTCTCTCTCTCTGTCTCAAATAAATAAATACACTTAAAAAAATGTAGTTAAGGGAGTTCTGAGGTCTGAGAGTATTAACAGCAGGCTTTCTGAGAGGCAGGCTGAGCATTATACAATGGGAAGGAGACACCAAGTGTGTTCTAGGATTTGGGATAGTAATAAGGTAGGAGAGTGATGTTTTCTAACAGCAGAGGTGGTCCAGTCTAGAGTTTAGAAGGGAAGGAAGTGAATGGAATAAAATGTGTTTGGAAAAGTACAGAGATGGGGTGCCTGGGTGGCTATGTCAGTTAAGCATCCCAACTCTTGATTTCAGCTCAGGTCATGATCTCAGGATTTGTGGGGCTGAGCCCTGCATCAGGCTGTGCGCTGACAGCACAGACCCTGCTTGGGATTCTGTCTCTCCCTCTCTCTCTCTGCCCCTCCCACACTTGCTCTTTCTCTCTGAAAATAAATAAATTTACTTTTTTAAAAAGAAAAACTGAGGAGCTTTGTAGCCATTATTGAGAGTTTGGATTTTATTTGAAGTAAAAAGGGAAGCCATTGTTGGGTTTGAAGGAGAGAAATTACAGTGTCTGAAATATATTTGTAAAAACTGTTCTCATGCTAGATGGAGAGCAGACTGCAAAGGACAAAAATAGACATGAGATAACCAAATAAGAGGCAATTGTCATAATCTAAGGAGAGATGCATGTGGTACAACAATTCTGTGAGATTCAATGAGAAGTAGTCTTCGCAGAGGTTAAGACAGACGTAACAGACACACTGCCTAAAATTCATCCAGACTCCACCAATTTGAGAAAGCTCTTTAATCTCCATGCACCTCTGTTTTCTCCTTTGTGAAAGGAAGATCCTGATAGGACTTATTTCACAGAGTTGTTGAAAGGATTAAATGAGTTTACAAATGAGTTCCCTGTTAGCTAAATTTGTGAAGAATTTTTCACTGTTATGGCATGTTCCACTCTACACTGCATTTTCAGACTCAGGCATTATTTCATTTAGTTTTTGTCTGGCAATGTGGAATTGCATGAGTGAGAAATGTGACCAGATAATTGTTTAGCCTTCTTTGCATGCTATATTTTACTGATGCAGTGGAGAAAATAGACAGTGGGTGAGAGGAATAGCACCTTATGGACAATCAGTTGTATTTTTCTCTCTTTATTATCTACCTTGTCATATTACAAAGATCCAACACCTGGACCACTGTATTTCTTTAATGGGATAGTCCCCATGGGACCTGTTTTTATCTTGCTTAAAACCCAAACTTGAATATATTGTGACTCCTCTAGCATAGTGTGGAACAATAATGTAACATCATCATTAGTCCAGATATCAGGCTGTCTCCTCTCGTGATAGGCTCATCTAGTGGAATAACACCTCTTGTTTTACAGGCATCCCCGGAAGTGACTATGTGAATGCCAACTATATAGATGGCTATAGGAAACAAAATGCTTATATTGCAACACAAGGATCTCTGCCTGAAACATTTGGGGACTTTTGGAGAATGATATGGGAGCAACGGAGTGCAACAGTTGTCATGATGACAAAACTAGAAGAACGATCCAGGGTAAGAATATCTACTTTCTCCCTCTCAAATCTTTCCTCAGGTAGTTTCTATGTAACATGGAATATTTCATTCTTTTTAGAATCTACCTTTCCTTAAGCTTTGACTTTCTAAGAGACACTAATAGTTAATGGGCATCAACAACTCTGATGAAATTATTCTTTAACACTGAGTCTTTAAAGAAGGAAAATCTCTCATGTTACAATGAGATTTTTAAAAAAAGTAGTACTCAAAAAAGTAGATAAATTGGGGCTTCTGGGTGGCTCAGTCGGTTAAGCAACCGACTTTGGCTCAGGTCATGATCTCATGGTCTATCAGTTCAAGCCCCGCATCAGGCTCTGTGCTGACAGCCCAGAGCTTGGAGCCTGCTTCAGATTCTGTTTCCCTCTCTCTCTCTGCCCCTCTCCCGCTCATGCTGTGTCTCCCTCTCTCTCTCAAAAATAAATAAACATTAATTTTTTTTTTTAAAGTAGACAACTTGGTTAGAGAAAATAAATATTAGCTTGAACCTGTTTCTAAAACTCATATTAAACAAGAACACACAGACTTTGGGGGAGAATCCCACCAATATATACTTGCCCATGTTTTTAACTTTTTCTTTCTTATAATCTGCAGGGTAAGATCTGAAATTCTATAAAAGAGGCTCTTATGTAAATTGTTCAAATTAGCATAAATTAAGTTAGGGCCACCAGAAAAATGATGTGGGTTAATACACAGCCGAGAAAACACATAAATGTGTAGAGGGCATTTTGCTAGTTTAGCCTTCTCCAAAATGAATAGATTTTAATAACAGAGTCACTGTTAAGGCCTAAGAAAGGAGTTTTATTCATCATATGGGTCTAATATTATGGTGCATGGAACATTAGTTAAATGCTATTGATTTGCAAAACTAAAACATAATGGGTAAGCAGTATGCCATATTCCCAAGTGAATATGCAAATATTGTAGCCATCTGATGAAAATCAGTCTTTAACCTTGAGAATTTAATGGAGTATCTAAAAAATCACTGAAGGCAGCACATCCTCTCCCTGAAGAGTAGGACGTTGAATTTGAAACCACTGGTGAGAGATCTCTTTTACTGTGGTCACAGTAGCCTCAAAAGGGTATTTAGAAGGAAGCCAAAGCCCAACTCCCCATTTGTTGTGTGATAGTTGAGGTTTTTTTTAAATGGTCTTCTAAGCTTGGTACATGGCAGTTTCTTAGCCCAGGTATGTATATGAAGGAAGAGTTGAAGGCTGCACAAGAGATTTATAAAGGAAAAGCTCAGACTTAGGGAAATATAAAAAGTCCCAGCCATTACTTTAAAGGTGGGAAATAAAGAATATGGTACACAACTGGTTTAGCAAACCCATAAAGCAATTACACTTTTCATATAGAAATACTGAAATATTGTCCCAAAGGAGTTTAGATGAAAACTGTTATGAATGTGAAGACAAATATCTTTGTCATTCTTTATGTGAAAACCCCATTCAAAAGATGTAAATGGATCCATTATTGATTTGTACTCAGGGTAACCCCTGTATAGCAAGCCCCACCCCAATGTTTCTTGGATAGAACTCATCATAATTACAACAATGTGTAACACATATTAGGCGCATCTATAGTTCACAGTAATCCTGTGAGATAAACACTACTATGATCTCCACTTTACACAGGAATAAACTAAGCCTAGAACATTCCAGAAGGTCACTCAAGGTCATTCAGCTACCAAGGTCAGAGTGAGGAATTGAAGACAGACAGTCTGGCTCCAGAACACATGTGCTTAACCATCAAGTCATATTGCCTGTTAACACTTCTATGAAGCTGAGACAGCTGAACTATTATATTACAGCATGCATGTAAATCCAACCTACCCAGACTGCTTTGCCTGGAGATACCGGCTGGTAACAAGCAATCATTTGCAAAAGCTGTTTTCAGTAAAACACACATTTTATCTTGACACTGCAGGCCTTCATTAAACCGTGAACAGAAACTTGTTTTGAAATAACCAAATGAAATTCTGCCCCTTTTCTCCCTAATTGCTTCTAATAATAAAGTTAGTTCTAACTGGCCCCACTGCCACTGCAGCATCTGATAGTAATGAGCAGTTCTTGGCGGAAGGCATTGTGACTTAAATACCTACAGTTTATCTTTATGTTGCAGGCTACTTTTTTTTTTCCCCACCTCAGACAGAGGAACTTATTTTGAAGTTACTAAATGAACCTCTGTTTGCTCCCTTCATTAATTACTCTTTGCTCTTGCAAGTTAGCTTTCTCCTTTGTTAAATGGCATAAGGAGGCCAATTAAAATACTGTCTTGTGATTTTTATTCAATGGTGGTTCAGTCTGTACCCAAACTTGTGGTGACCTGCATAAGCCAATATTGAAGAGTCTCAACATCATCAATCTGACCATACAAATGAGCCCTGACCTACAAGGCCCAAGAGCCCTTTGTCCCCCAGTCTAGAATACTTGAGAATAAATGACCAAATGCAGCTGAGAGATCTAACAGGGCACCAGTCCCCCAAATTATTTCCCCTGCTCTCCCATCTTCTCCCCTCACATCCTCCCAGTTCACTTTTTTCCTATCCAGTTGCTCTTTCACCTAAAGTCTAGGCAGAAAGGAGAAGGCATTCCTGGATTCACAAACAAGAACTTGTATTGAGTTTCTCTTTCAAGACGTTATAGAGGTTAATTGTTGCTGAAATATATAGCTTTATACTTTAGGAACTCTGTGGGTTATGTGGGCTGATCTGGGGATTCAGTGAATTCTCAATTCCCTGTAGTCAACTTCAAAGCAGACATTTGAACTAGTCTGGCTTTATTTAGGGACTGCCTGTAGTCTCCCTCATAAAGGGAGGTGGTCCAGGTGGTTGAAACAAATCACTTCTCTAAGAGCAGATGCCTGAAATTTCATTATTTTGAATAAGGCTCGTGTTCTTGAAATAACATTCACCCCTTTGGTATATGAAAAGTATGTGTGTATAAACACTTCTGTGTACTGTAGAATACGTGTATGCAGGAAAACATGTTAACTGGCAGTTTGGGGTGGGGGAGTGAGAAGAAAAGGAAAGGGAAGAGAGGATAGATGATATTTCATAAGAGTGCCTGAGGATGCCACTATCAGAGAGAAGGGAATTATACAACACAGTCCCAAGTAGAGGTGCCTTGCAGTCAAATGTCTGGGTTTAGCTCCCAGATGTAGTGCTTACTAGGTATGTGACAATGCACACATTACTAGGACCCCTGAAAGTTTCATTTCTCCTTTTTATATTACAGAGAAGGATTATTGTAGGTATTGACCAAGATAAGGACTATGACAAGGTGTCTCAGTGAGTCTCAGGTGTTAGTGTTTGGTTGAGACAGAGAGCTGGCTATTGTTGAAAGTGCTGCTATAAATATCGGAGTACAAGTGCCCCTATGCATCAGCACTCCTGTATCCCTTGGGTAAATTCCTAGCAGTGCTATTGCTGGGTCATAGGGTAGATCTATTTTTAATTTTTTTTTTAATTTTTTTTTCAACGTTTATTTATTTTGGGGACAGAGAGAGACAGAGCATGAACGGGGAAGGGGCAGAGAAGAGGAGACACAATGGGAAAAGGCTCAGGCTCTGAGCCATCATTGAAACCCAGCCTTGAGGGGCTTTCGAACTCCGCAGGACACGCGAGATCGTGACCTGGCTGAAGTCCGGACGGCTTAACCCGACTGCGCCACCCAAGCGCTATTTTTAATTTTTGAGGAACCTCCACACTGGCTGTTGGCTGCACATAGTTGCATTCCCACCAACAGTGCAAGAGAGTTCCCATTTCTCCACATCCTCTCCAGCATCTATAGTCTCCTGATTTGTTCATTTTAGCCACTCTGACTGGCGTGAGGTGGTATCTCAGTGTGGTTTTGATTTGTATTTTCCTGATGAGGAGCGACGTTGAGCATCTTTTCATGTGCCTGTTGGCCATCTGGATGTCTTCTTTAGAGAAGTGTCTATTCATGTTCCCATTTCTTCACTGGATTATTTGTTTTTCAGGTGTGGAGTTTGGTGAGTTCTTTACAGATTTTGGATACAAGCCCTTTGTCTGATATGTCATTTCCAAATATCTTTTCCCATTCCGTTGGAGCCTAAATGTCCATTAACTGATGAATGGATAAAGAAATTGTGGTTTATATACACAATGGAATACTACTTGGCAATGAGAAAGAATGAAATATGGCCTTTTGTAGCAATGTGGATGGAACTGGAGAGTGTTATCCTAAGTGAAATAAGTCATACAGAGGAAGACAGATGCCATATGTTTTCACTCTTATGTGGATCCTGAGAAACTTAACAAGAGACCATGGGGGAGGGGAAGGAAAAAAAAAAAGAAGTTAGAGAGGGAGAGAGCCAAACCGTAAGAGACTCTTAAAAACTGAGAATAAACTGAGGGTTGATGGGGGGGGGGGGTGAGACA